AAAGAAAATCTGTTAACCTCCTTTTTGGGTCTCCTGTGACTTGACTCAAAATGTCTTTTTTTTTCCATTTTGTACATATGGGGGTGTTGTCTGACTATATGTATGTCTACCACTTGTGTGTCTGATGCCTAGGGGCTCAGAAAAGGACATCGGATCCCCTGGAAGAGGTGTTATGGATGGCTGTGAGGCACCATGCGGGTGCTATGAACCTAACCCAGGTGCTATGCAAGAGCAGCAAGCACTCTTATGGCTGGACCATCTCTTTAGTCTATGGCTATGTGTTTGAGACAGATCTTTTTTGGGCTAGCTTTGAACTTATTATGTAGAGAAAGTTGGCCTTGTACTCTAGATCTTTCAGGTGTCCTCATGTCCTGACCATTTAAGCGTGTGACTTCTTCATTGAGCATCTCTTTACTGTAGACACAGATTCAGCAGAGTCTCCCCTTCAGTAGACTTCTCTTTCTCTCTTTCTCTCTTTCCTCCTTTCTTTCTTTCTTTCTTTCTTTCTTTCTTTCTTTCTTTCTTTCTTTCTTTCTTTCTTTCTTTTTTTTTGGGGGGGGGAGTGTTGAGACAGGGTTACTCTGTGTAGCCCTGGCTGTCCTGGAACTCACTCTGTAGACCAGGCTGGCCTTGAACTCAGAAATATGCCTGCTTCTGCCTCCCAAGTGCTGGGATTAAAGGCGTGTGCCACCACTGCCTGGCATTTTGTTTGTTTTTTAAGATGGGGTTTCTCTGTGTAGCCCTGCAGTCCTGAAACTCACTCTGTTGACCAGGCCTGCTTTGAACTCACCCCTGCCTCTATTGGCATTAAAGACATGCACCACCACTTCTGGTTGAAGGTTTTTTGTTGTTTGGTTTGGTTTTTCTTTTCACCAGTCTGTGACTCTTATCACAAGTATGACTTTGAACTCCAGGCAGTCCTCCTGCCTCAGGCTTTCAGGTGCAAGGATTACAGGTGTGAACCCCACCATGGCTGCTACATTTTTTTTTTTTTTTGTAATTACCCAGAATATACTAAATGCTTGCTGCCTATGGAAGATTAAGTTCAGAAGTGCCCCTTCCCTTCTCAAAGGGGTTCGAACAGTTGAATCTGGAAGAAAATGCTCTGTGTCACATCACCAGAACATTTATGTTCCTGGAGCA